TTCTAAAAATAAGTGATTAAATGTGCATTTTAGATATGAGTGTTTTAATCAAGATATAATTATTTAAATTGATAAAAAGGACCATAATTCTGAAATTCAATGTCAACATCTTGAGACTCTAAATGATTATTACCAATTTTCACAGACATTTAATTGTAATTTTTCTAAACAAAATTCCCTGAACAAAAGGGAAGCCTTCCATTGGTGTTCTTCAATAAACGAAACCCCGGGGATTAGAGGTTTCATTATCATTCTTCACCAAGACGTTAACGATTTACATTTCACCCAAAAAAGTTAATGATTTACAAATTATTTATATCTCTCTATTAAAAAATATAAAATATTTTTAATTAAATCTCACCTTTCAATAAAGTAATTTCTTAACTTCAAATTAACTCTATCTTTTCATATTTATTCTAATTTAATAGAGTGTTTCACCCTAAAATACATATAAAGTATTTATTCAATGGAGATACTTTTGAAAAGAAAAAAAGGTAATAATTACGTTTTGAAAGGCTAAAAATACCTTACATTTTTTTAACATTGAATCACTTGCATTTTTTTTAAGTGGAGGAAATATATGTTAAAGTATATATTTAATCTTTTAACTTTATATAAAATTTTATTTCAATATTTTAACTTTATAAAGTGTCTATGGGGTTCTTTAATCCTTCTACCATTAGTTTTATCACAAAAAAATTTTAAATTAAACTTTTAAATATAAACAAAATATTATGAAAAGTTAACATATTAAGTTTAATTTTTAAAAATAATAATAATTGGAAGAAAATAATAATTAAAAACTAATGGTGTTAGAGCTAAATCATTGAAAAGATATTTTATAAAATTAAGGTATTAAATTAAAACACTATATAAAGTTATAGAATTAAAAGTATATTTTACCTTATATGGAAGCATCAAGATCTTTGTAAAATCCTCTCCGATCCTATTTATAAGTTGCTATAAGATGAATTTTTTACAACGGTTATTTTAAACTTTTTATGTAGGTTGAAAAAGAGGGTAATGGGAAGTTCACTTTTTATGTCGGTTATTTAACTGTTGTAAAAGGACTTTTCATGTTAGTTTCTCCACGTTGGTTATTTACAGAAACCAACGTGAAAAGTAGACTTTCCACAATGATTATTTACTAAAATTGATGTTAAAATATTTTTAACATTGGTTTTTCAAATAACCATTGTTAAAAGTTGAATTTTTTTAATATTTTATTTGTCGTTCTTGACAACCATAACTTTAAACTTGCAAAATTTATACTTTATATAGTAATACGAATAGCCAACCAAAAGATTTACAATAAATATTTAACTATACTATATATTTATAAAATGAATTAAAATAATATTTTCTCCATATAACTATTATGTTAATCTATATATACAATTGTTCAACTATTAAAATACTATAAAATTTTGTTCAACCTTTCTTCACTTTAAAAAGTATTTTTGAAGAAGTTATTGAGCCAAAACATCTCGAATGCTGTCAATCTCTTCTTCATTATAGGGCTCCATATTTTCAAATATCTAAATAATAAAATTTATTAGAATAATACTTTAAAGAATTAAATACAAGAATTTAAACTAAAATAAAAAATACCTCTTGTAATCTTTCAGTGCTCCTAACTTGAACTATCTCATACATGTAACGGATATCATAATATCCACATTCTGTGCTTCTTGGTTACCTACAACACTGAAATAAATGAAAATTTAAAAATTAAATATGAGTGATAATTAAATACAAGAATTTAAAGATTCATATATATTTACATTCGGGTAAATTCATTCCACTGATGATTGTTGCTTGCGTTCCCCAAACATAAGCATATAATATTTCTCAAGTGCACTATTATTATTTGTAAATGAAAACGCATTACAAAAGTATAAATATCTCATGAAGTAAAGTTTTATATAAACTAAAACTTACTTGTTGAAAATTCATATGAGCTCTTCACTTAGTTTTTTGCCCAAAGAACAAAATCAATATACTTCATTTTGATTCGAGCAAAGAACACAAAGTGATCAATGATAATAGTATCGTAAATTTAAATAAGTATTAAATAACACGAATATAGACACACACACACACACACATGAGAAACAAATACTTGCCTATCAATAATTGGTGCTATATAATATGGTAATTTTATATCTAACATATGATTCATCACATATTTCATCCTTCTATGTACTACATTGTGAGCATTCTGCATAACTTACGGGTACAAAACTCCAAATGTATTTTGTTTTTCCATTGCACAACAAATATTGTAGAGATACTTATCATTGAAATGATATTAAAATGTTAATAATACAAAAATAAAATGGAAAAAAATGGAAAAAGTATATAGAAAAGTTGCAAGATTCCCAATTTAGCTTATGATATATCTAGCTCCTTTAAATCTAGGAACTCCTTGAGATCTTTCTTATCCAATACAAAATCATATCCCCTTTCCATAGCTATGACCCTTAATGGCATTTTAACAGTAATGCCTTCCGTCATATCTTTGTAAATTTCATATAGTTGTGCTAGGCAGGAAAATTATTAGCATTTTTAGGTTCTTATTAAAACATAAAATGAATGAGTTATATAGGTCATTAATTAACTCAAACAAAATAACATAATATTTACTTGCTATTTACCTTTAGTGATGTTACATCGATTTCTGACACAAGATGTTTAACCCAAAGAATGAAAGAATATTTTGCTTGGCCTATTATTGTAATCTTAGAAGTGGGAAATGACACTTGTACATTATTCTCACCCTTTCGAACACGTGTAATTGTCATCCTAACTTAGTCTGTTTTAATCTTCTGATGATGAATTGTAGACCCAAACTTATATACTTGACCTTCGGCAACAACACATTTTTTTGGAATCCCCAGATAAAGATAACAGGAAGTTCCTTCACTGTCATTTGAGACTGGAGGATTTAGATCAATTAATGCTCGTGCCATTGTACCCGGTAGATTATTGCTTCTTTTTGTGCTTGGTATAACAGGGGACGTCTGGGGTGTATGATGAAATGCAAATCTATATTAAATTACATTAAATATAAATCAACATTAAATTAAATTAAATACAAACCTGGGGTATACGATCAACTCCTGGAATTATCATGTCAATAACCATAGATTTCATCTCTTCACGAAGTTGGGCCATCATCTCTTCCTAAAATGATTTACGAAACTCCCACTTGACCTCTTGTCAAACCTCAGCTCAAATCTCTTGTCTAACCTCTTGTTGAACCTCAGCCCAAGTATCATCCTTAACCTTGGCCACCAACTGATGGATCTCATCTCTAAACATACCTTCATGAGAGCTTTATGGAGTTGGTCCAAAGTATTGCTTAAGACTAATGCCTCTAACTCAACCAGGATATTCTGGCTTTTCAATTGTAGTTGATAGAATATCCATCTTTCCACTTGGAGTGAAGGAACTTTGAGAAACTTGCTCCTCGAGTTAATCCTATTTAAGCTAAATTATTAATTAATCTTTACAAATAGTTAGTCATAAGTTTAAATTTATTTAACTACTTATGATCTTTTCAGCAACTGCAACAGCCTCTGAAGTGATATACTCGCCTTTCTTGATCCTCCCAGCCTTCCCATTTTCTTTGACAAGTTGGTCGTGGTGGGGGCTAAACAATAACGGTGGGGTTTGATTTTGCTACTTCATCCATTTTTTTTTATCTTCCTCAATCAAATTTTGCTTAACTTTTCTATATCCTCCACAAGACATGTAATGAAGACATAGATTTTGTGATTGTATTGCTTTATTTACTGTGCTTATTTTCTGTGCAAATGAAAACAAATTAAATTAGTGAATCATATAAAACAATATGAGATAGAAATTAAATGATAGCTTATCACTTGAAATTCAGGGTCATTCCGATATGCCATAAACTGTCTCCAAGTGTTTTGATCAAGAAAATTGTACTCTTAACATGGATCCCAACCTGCCTTCTTTCCATTTGCACAGATGTACTCTCTAGTCAGTGTTGACTTAAAATCTTTCCATCATTCAGCAACATTCTTTAACCAATGTTTCTTTATTTCAGTAGTAATAAGAATATCATAAGTTAGCTGCACAGTAATTAAGTATTAAATAAGTTAAAAGTTTTAAAAAATACTATAAAAATAACAACTACTGATGTTTGTGATACTAACCAGAATTTCTTTCTAAACTTGATCTTTAATAGCTCGTAGCACTTGTCTCCAATCCTTATATAACATGCTAATTTTACTGCGAGCTTGAAGGCTAATGAAGTTGATAAATTGATCTCCCTCAGCATCAAGTAAAACAAAATCAGGGCTAAGTTCATCATGTAACCTTTCTATAGTCCTATGATGTATGGCCAACTCTCTCAATTTTGTTGGGCCTCTACCCCTTTATTTACCACGTGAATTAGTGGGATTACCACCTCCTTCTGAACCCTCTACATGCCTGTTAGAAACAAGATAAGATAGATAAATTATAAATATAAAAATATAAGTAAAAAAAAGCAAGATTAAAGCAAATGAAGTAAAATAATAAATAAAACAAAGACTATTACTTCATTCATTCTCCCAAATTCCTTCGCAATGATCATTTCTAAAAGCATATTCATTGTTTGTCTCATCCACTCTAATTGATTGAAATGGATTTATTGTGAAAGGTAGAGTTTCATCAACATCAAAACTAGAGTCATCATCACCATCTACTTCAACAGTTTGTCTTTTGCCTTAAAGAACAATTGTAACATCCCAATTTAAATTTTAATAGTTAATTTGGGTTAATAAAAATTTTGAAAAGTATTATTAAATTATTATTATAAAAAAATAAATAAAAATAAAAAAATAAAAAAAATAAAAAAAATAATAATAATAAATAAAAAAATAAAATATTATTAAATTATTATTATTATAATAATAAAAAGAAAGAAAGGAAAAGAAAGGAAGAAGAAGGAGAAAACGAATTTGCTTCGTCCGCCGCCTCAACAGTAACAATAATAAAATAATAATAAAAAGAAAAGAAGAAGAAGAGAGAGAAAATAATTAAAAAAAATGTGGGACCCACTGAATTTTTATAAAAACTCACCTGTTCCTTCATTTCTTCATTCCTTCTTTCGTGCGTGAGCTTCGGCAGAGAGAGCATCTGTGAGCCAAATTCACCGGTGCTGGGTTTTAAGGTAAGAGTTTTTAATAGGATATTTAGGGTGTGATTTTAAGCTTTTCAAGACTAAGTAAGTGTTCTAAAAATTTTTCTTAGTCATCCTTCTTCTTTAGTTTCTGAGTTTGTAGTGGTAGAAAATTTAAGATCTGAAAGAGGGATGAATTTATGTTGAATAAATATGGTTTTTGAGGTTGTCAGTAGTATAATAAATGTTATAGAGTATAAATTTGTTAATGATCTTTGAATTTATGGCTTATGGATCAAATTCTAAACTAGATCTGAAAATATATGTTGATTTATTGAGGTTTAGATGATTATTTGGGATGAGAAATGAATTATTATGGTTATAGGATTATGATTCTAAGCTAGAGACTGAATTTTTAATTTTTGGGTATTTTAGGTACGAATTTATAAAATAAAAAGAAAATTTTGATAATAGAAATTAGTTTAAAATTTGATTTTTAGATTATCAATGTTTATTGATAATTAAAAGAGGAGTTAAAAATTATACTTAATAGTATTAACTATAGATTTGTATTAAGATTGAGATTAAGAATTATGTTATATTTTTAATTCTATTATTAGAATTATTTTATTAGTTTCAAAAATTGAAACTAATATTTATAAATAATATGTTATTTGTAGATTGTATTACTGGTGAAGATTGTGGTGAGAGAGAAATTTTAAGGAATAATTTATTAAAAAAACCACAAGGTAACCATGCTTTTAATTTGTGATTAGTGTTACTTCTTGTTAATTGGGTGATTATTGAGAAAATTATGAATTTTGTAATATTGTATAATTGTGCAATATTATTATGAATTTGTTTAATTATTGTGGGAGGTGTTGGGAGACTTGCTATTGTTGTTGTATTTATGTGCCACGTGGTACGCCCCTATTGGAGCTCAATAGGTGGTTTGTAAGGGCTCGGGCTAATCTACCTTTGGCCGGGTAATTTAGTACCGAGTGAGGGCTACGGCTCGAGGTTAATGGAGGGATATAAGGATGGTTGTTTGTGTTTATTATAATATTTCTTATATTTGTTAGAATTATATTATTTTTAATTCTCACTTAGTAAGCACACACTTAACTGTTTGTATACACTATCATAAATTGACTTTGGTTACTGGGACTTTTGAGTCTCATTATGTGGTTAACAATTTTCAGGAGAAGAGCCAAGAGTGACACGTGGAGGAGTCCCAGAGGCTTAGTGGTATAGATCCACTGTCTCTTTTGGGTATTTAATTTATGATTTATAATGTGTTATATTGCCAATATTAGGACTTTTTTATGTTTATTGTCAATTATATGAATATATAAATGTAATCATGCCTTTCAAACTATTTCTATTTTTGGTACAATTTGGATGACTGTAATTTTAATATTTGGTTTACTTTGGATTGGTTAAAATGGCATGATTATAAGGCCAAATAACTGGCTTGTGTTGAAAATTGACTAAATTGCTTATTTTACTTGTTGGGAGTATAAGGATGGACAAATGTGATTTAGTTTACTTGTTGGGAGTATAAGGATGGACAAATGTGATTTAGCCTAATGGCATGTGGGAGGTAAAAATTTATTTGAAATGTTATAGTGTGTAAGTTGAAGCCAATTATAAAATATTTTATATCGAAATTATTGATATAAAAATGTGTTGGGTGGCTGTAACCCAACTATGGTTGAGTTAAATTATTTAAAAAAAAAATTTGGTGTGTTACAACAATAGACAATCACTTATTTGTTGGATCATTCACATAAAACACTTGTTTTGCTTGATTTGCTAAAATGAAGGGCTCATCAATGTGACCCAACCTATTGAGATTAACTAAGGTAAACCCATCAACCTTGTCTATTTAGATGCCACTCCTATGAGTCCACTTACATTTGAATACTGCATTTTTAAATTTGGTGTAATTAATCTCCCAAATATCTTTAATAGTTTCATAGTAGGGCATAGGTGCCCACTTTAGGTTTTTATCTTTTAAACTAGAAAAATGTTGAGCTTCAACCCCCACCATCATTCCACTATTTTGAACAGTACTTTTTTCATCTTGAGTTTTTGTATAGAATGAATACCTATTTATGCCAAACCCACCCCAACATACAATCTCAAACGAGGCCCCTTAGCTAACTATTTTATTGTATCAGACACATTGGGCCCATTGCAAACCTTTTCCTTGAATTACTTGCAGAATGTCTTGTTATGCTCATTAACTATCTGCATATCATTCTTTTTTAGGTTTTTATCCTTCAGTATTTTCTTGTAAGTATCTAAGTAACATTGAACTTCTTCCATATTATTCAAGATGTAAAGATGAGTTTGCAATACCTCTTCATGGCACATACTCTTTACTCTGACCCCTCGTGTTCCCTTACCTATGAGACTACTCCCCTCATGGCGAGGTTTTAGAACTCTAACAACCTTTACCTCATTTAGGTATTTTGTACAACACTTTACAGCTTCTTCTGTAACGGATCTTTCTACAATAAAGGCTTCAGGATGATATTAATTTTTTGAATATCCCTTTAATATTTTCATGTAACGCTCAAATGGGTACATCCACCTAAGATAGGCAGGACCGCAGTATCTTATTTTCCTCACAAGTAAACAATTAAATGCACCATAATATCAAAAAAAGCTGGAGGAAAGTTAAAAAGCCCTAAGTCGTATCAAACTTTTCAAAAAAACTAGAATGTAGTTGAGTACACTCTAGGTCATTAAATCTCAAGAGAGCAAGTTTAAACAACCAAAAACAATTCATAAACCATTTTCACAAGTTAAAAACAATGTTGGTTTTGAAAATCAAAATTAAAGTTTAAATTGTTTATGATTTTTGAATTTTATAAGAAAATATGAAGTGAAATGAAATTGATTTAACCAAGCAAACAAGTGAGTTCTCCAAGATTTGAATCCACTTCCACCATCATAGAATTCTAAGTTAAATTCATTCGGTTCTTGTAACTCATTTGACATTAAGTAAAATTCCTAATTACCGTTAGGATTAGATGATTAAGGCTTAGATCAAGACACAATCCCTATGAAAATTATGCCAAATAATGACTTAAATTAAGAATTAAACCTTGCCTTGCCTTGATCATGTTCTAGCACTTAGAAATAATCAAGAATTAAGTAATTAACTTCAATTTAAGACCTAAATAGAAGGTAAATGATTTAGACAGTACTACAAGGAATGGATAGATTAGCATTTATACAACAATAGCAATTGAAGCATAAATTCAAACATATAATGTGCGTCATCCAATTAAAGAGTTAAATCATAGCATCTAATTCTCTTAAAAGAATGAAACTAACCAGAGAATTCAATCTAACTAGAATTGAATCATCAAGTCAATAGCAACAAGACAATTAGAGAAATCAAACGTGATTAAAGCAAAACCAAAATGAATTGAACTAAGAAAACTCAAGTTTAAGTCTCATCTTCCTTAAAGAACTCTAGATGAAATTCAGCTACTCATTTCAGTCTCTTCAATAACTGATTGAAGGTAGATGCCTGTGAGAGCTGCTGCGGCTGAATGCTTGAAGGAGCTGTGAATGAAAGAGCATTCGGCTGAATGAGAAGAATATGAGTAATCTGTGTGCGACCAGATGAATGGAGATAAAGATGAGAGATGGTGAGTGAACTGAACTAAGAAGAAGATGAGTATTTATTCACGTGAGGTGGCTGAGAAGAGCTGTATGATGACTGTGAACGACGGACTAAACTCAGAGGAAGACATGCAGCAGTTGTGCGATAGTGCGCGTGCAATAGGCTAGACTCTAAACCCTAAAGGAAGATGAAAGGAGATGAGTGATCGTGTCTCTCCCGTGACCGAACTCAGACTTCATAAGAGATGAGTGTTTTATGTGTGTGTGCAGTGTGACTGAGGGAGGAAGATGAAGATGATCCCGCCGTCTCTTTCGTGAATAGCCCTTCTCTTTTCCTCTTTTTTTGTTCCAGCTCTTCGTTTTCTCCTTTTTGAAAAGTCAAATCTGATTTGAAATAGGAAAAAGAGAAAATCACCAATCTTGGCCCATAAATTTCTTAAAACACAAAACAAATAAAACAAAAATCAATCTAATGCAAAAGGACCAACTAAAGTCTTAAAAATGAAAATAAAAATTGCCCAAGTAATAAAATATGTTAAGGAATTAAAATTTCAGAATAAAAATATTTAATTCTAACAAAAATGTGCAAAATGCCCTTAATGCCAAAACTCAATGCAAATGAGCCTATGATCAAATTTAGTGCCAAAAATATACATATAACAGTCTAAACTAATAAAATATGGTCACAAATATAAAAAAAAGTGTGCAAAATATGTGATTTATCAAAAGTACATTTCTAGTTGGCACAAAATGATATAACCTTCGTTTTTCAATTCATCTAACTGATCAGGATCAATGACTTTATTGCAAATAGAATTGAAGAAACCACATAACCTTGTAATTGCATGCCTCATATCATCTTTCAATATGCCACAAATAGCTACCGGTAACAGATGTTACATCAATACATGGCAATCATGAGACTTCAAGCTTAGTAGTTTCAAATCTTTCATAGACACAAGATTTCTGACATTAGAAGAATATCCTTATGGCACTTTAATACCATGTAAACACTCACAGAAGTTCTCTTTTTTTGAAAGTGTGTAGGCTGCAGGAGGCAGATAAGTCCTTTTTCCCTCTTCTTGTCAAGTAAATAATCGTTCTCTTAGTCCCATCTCAGCCAAGTCTAGTCTAACATTTATCCCATCCATAGTCTTTCTATTCATATGTAGAAGTGTGCCCACAAGACTATTACTGTCACACCCTGAAAATATAACATGTTTTGCACAAAAAAAATAGAGATAATACCCATATCCTAAAAGTCTTTACTAAAAAAAAACTCTAATTTATAAGCCATGAAGACCTTTGATAATAAATTAAGCTATCTTCAATACAAACCATACGAATAAAAGTTTAATATTTTATAAAGTAGTAGTAGCAGCAAAGAATTCTCTTTCAATCAGTAACTATCAAAGTATAAATCATAAGGATGAGGACCCTAACTGTAGCTTATGTGGAGCACCTAACATAAGAAATTTACTTAAAAGAAGTTTGATCTCAACTTTTTATCTCAACTGAATATTACAGCCCCTCAAGGATTAGCGAAAGGCACAACATCAGCTGACGTATTTGAGACCAAAATAATAATTTCCAATGAATAACATTCCAATAATAAATAATAAAACTTGAATAAAAAGGAAAAGTTTAAAATAATTGTGAGTCAAAGAGACAACAGCCTTTAGAAAAATGTAATAAACTTTAAAATAGAATGGCTCTGTAAAATTTTTTTAAAATTAAATCTTAAATCGTTGAACTATCAGGGCAAATATTAATAGGATTTGCTTTCAAGAAAGCACATAAATGAAATTAATATTTATAAACAAATTATTAAATAACATGAATGGAATATAAAATCATCAAATAATTATATTTATAATTATAAAGACTTATCAAAATAATTTACAAATGTGGACACACAGTCTACGAGGGTAACTAACCAAACGCGGCTTATGTCACGAAGACAAATGTGGACACACACAATCTACGAGGGTAAGTAATCAAATACAGCCGAAGCCACAAAACAAACATGGACACATAGTCCATAAAGGTAATACTAATTAAACGCGGCTTGAAGCCACAAAATCAAATGCAGGTCCAAAGCCCACGAATAACCATCCCTCCGTTTCACGTGCGTTGGCCATCGTACAGGGCTAGCACCTCGTATAATCACCTTGCTAGCTAGGTGTACCATGACGCGCCAAGGGCTAATGAAACTGCCGTTAGCAACCAGTGTTCCATATAAAGTCCTCTTTTTTAAAACCATTTTCAAACATGTGAGAAAATCATTACTTTCAAAATACAGTTCTCATTCTCAAAATCAAACTCGCATGAATACTTTTAAGCATTGAAACTTTCCAGAATAAAATTCTATATTCAACGCTCATGCTTGCCTTTATCAAATAATCAAAAAAATTTCAAAGTTGAACTCGCAAGAATCATTCTCTGTATCAATCCAATATTTGATAAAATAAAAATCTCACAATCAAAGTCCAAACTTGATTTAATTGATCAAATAACATTTCAAATTTGGTAAAGCTAATTTCTCAAAATAAAGCAATGTTAATCAACAAATATCCAATAATCGCATTAATGCTATTAAAATAATTTTCAGAAAAATATAATATTTTACTAAAGAAAATTTTAATTGAAAAAAAATCAGTTAGGACACTATCCACTTACCTGTAATATTCCCAAGCACAAAAATTCACCCTTTAATGCTTTAAACAAACCTTCCTTACTACTTCAATCAATATTTCTTTTCTTCAGATCCCCTATTCAATAATACAAAAATTTTAGTGACCTTTATTCGAGTCTAATAAAACTCCTTTTCCATAACAGGGATAATATACCCTA